GCTCATGTTCAGCCGGCTGTCAACCAACACCCCCAGGTCCTTCTCTGCTGGGCAGCTTTCCAGCCACTCTTCCCCAAGCCTGTAGCGCTGCATGGGGTTGTTGTGGCCGAAGTGCAGGACCCGGCACTTGGCCTTGTTGAACCTCGTAAGTTCCAATAGAAGTTAAGAGTTAGGCTTCCAGGTCACCTCAACACCGTCAGTGGAACTCATTATGGTAGAAACCATGTTTCCTTTATGATTGAGAAGCTGAAGCCATTTATAGTCTTCCTAACAGTTTGCACGCAGTACCTGTAGTTTTCACTGTAGTTAATAGGAACAGAGTATTCACTTAGATAAATGAAAAAATCCAGTGGTTTCAGGGTTAGAGCCTATTTCTTCTGCGGGGTTACAGAACGTAATCTTTTATGATGTGTATGGTTCATATGGAAAAGTACATTAGCACTTGTGTAGTAGTCTAGGCGGGCAAGAGAGCTAACTTTTCACCCATTTGGACTGACATTTCCATTTTGTGTATATGCCCTGTTGAGAAGGCAGTTAAATTAAGGAACAGAAAAGTTCAGTTTTCTTCAATTGATTGTTCTTGCGTAGGAAAGGGGCAGTATATAAGTGGGATTTGTGTGGAAGCGTAACATACATCATACTACACCTAACTCATTTTCCTGAGTACCTCATGAGATCTTGTGAAGTGAATTGATAATGTGCACGACCCCTTCGGCTGAGGCAAAATTACACTGTCGCAATGGGCAGTATGTAATATAGACAGGAGTGGAAGTGATCAAGTGTAAGCCTGATTTATCCGAGTGGTGGTAGGAGGAAACCTCTGTTGCTGATGCAGTCGTGTTGGGGAAATGGGGCTTTGCCTGGTACAGCTTGTGGCTGGCTGGAGGATGAAGAGATTATAAGGAGCAAGAGACTTTGCTGGTGTGTGTCAACATGGGAAATGCTTTGCTGGTTTCCCTACACTGGAAACATGTCTTATTATATGTTAGATTTATTTAGGTTCTTCAGTTTATATTGGAATTAAAGAGCATCTCACTGAGGACAAATTTCTGGTTGCTTATTTAAAGTATTTTTATTCCCCTACTCCTCTGTGATTCTTCATCCTCCAGTTATCATCAGTGTAGTGAGAAGCAGCTTGGTTTGTGTATTCTGTCAAAAGTCTACAAGGCTATTGAGTGCAAAGCTGAAGATATAATATATTCATTATTTTATTAGATAGATGTAGCCGAGTAGTCATTCCCATGTGAGTTTGTTCACCTCTTCCTTTTGGCTTTATGCTGTGTAAATACAGTATATTGTTTTTAATCTGCACTCATCACAGATCAAATCTGAGTGGGAAGGTCTGGTTGTATTAATATTATTCTTTCGGATCTCCTGATTCTTCCAGTAATAAACTATAGTAGCACAGAATGTTGAGACATCAGTAATACTGAGCAATAACAATTTTGGGCCCCTTTGAGTGAGGTATGTAAACATACGTGAGGTGGATAAACTGAAATCCACCAGTAGTCGCAGCAATGTCTGAGGGAGCAGGCATGCACAGGAAATTATGAAGAAAGGCTTACGCTTTTCCTTCAAACATTTCATTTTAACATTTGGAGTGTCATTGCAATACCAGAGTTTTTGTTCTTGTTAGCATTTAGCATTTCTTAAAAGAAATTAATCTAGCGATGGAAGAATTTACCTAAGACACTAAAACGCTTTTGAAAACTCTATCTACAGATAGAGTTTAAGAGCTACAACATGAGGATTTGGTTACAAACTATTGATACTTTACTGGCTGAATTGGCAATTGGGATTTTTCTGCTGCTGGGCGATCTCTCTGGTGATCATATCATCTTCCTATGGCGAAATCTTTGTTTTCTAATGAAAAAGAAGCTGTACTTGCAAGGATAGAGGAGAATCTTTTTTCACCAAAATGCACTTTCTGGAGGGGAGAGAAAGCAACAATTGGTGAATATTTACTCTGTCTAAAATAATTACACGTCATCCAACTGTGAACTGACTAATTGATATTACCTTTAGTGTTCATGGTAAAGATGCTTTTTTAAAAAAAATCTGTGACTTTCTCAATATGTAACTTATCTATTTCATTCATTACAGCAAACAACAAAGCATCTATATTTAATGTGCTCTGTGTAAATAAAATGAAAATTTCCTATTTTGCTCTATAAGCACAGTTAGCTAACTAGAGTAAAACTGAATAAACTTTTCCAAGATTCTCCTTGGTCCACGATTTTATGCTGGGGAATATATTTGACTTTTTAATGAATGTTTTAAAAAATAAGGTTTTTTGAATTTGCTTAATGTTTTCATGTAAGGT